AAACCAACAGAAATATTCTTAAAAGGAGAAAAAGGTGAAGGGTTTTGGAATTCCAGGAAGTCTCCACCTTATCTAGGAAAAGCTCTGACTATTCTTCCCCTCAATTACTCTATCCCATCCTTTCATTACTCCACTTTTTGTACCTTAAACTCTTTAGCTGAAGATGTTGATCTGTGAGCTCTTTGACCACTGAATAAAGCTTGTGCCCTTGATGCTCATTGTCATTTTGGCAAGTTGGCTCTGCAACACTAACAGCAAAAGATCCTATGTTTGGGAATAAGTTAAAAATTGGTAATATGCACCATACGAGGCCAGGGGCCTCTATGGTCTGGAGAGCTAGCCACACCCCTAGTGCATGCAGCCAAGTCACTCTGGCCTCTACCACCCAGGGAACCCTGCCTGCCCCAGACACCAGCTGAACACAGCACCTACCAGCAGACCTCTCCCCTTAGCTTGGGCTCCAGTCCCCAGCAGTCCAAGGATGGAACAGGGAACCCTCACTCCTAGTCCCTTGGGCCTCAGATTGCTGTCAAGGGGCCCCTTGTTTTTCCTCCTCTGGGACAACCCACAGAGAGAAACACAAGGCAGAGAAGCCAGAGGTGGTTGCTACAGGAAACACATCCCTCTGTTAGCAACACATCTTAAGTGCAGGACTAGAATTTTTCCACAACACTACCAGGTTCATTTGTAAAGGAGGTAGCTTCTCTGCCATATGCCCCACCAACTATACATGCCCCCAACTTACAGTTTCACCCACTTCCTTTTGATACTCAATAGGTTTTCCCCAAGGGAAGGAGGGAAAGATTTTGGCCCTCCCTGAGCCCCTTTTTCTAATCTGTAAAATGAATGATGAGGTATATCCAAAGAGATCAGGGGGCCCACTCAACAGGTGGCTTAAAAAAGTGGGGATTTTTTTACATGTTTCATTTTTGTGAAGGGAAAGGTATTTGCTTGTCCAGCAAGCAAATTCCAGTAAGAATTTGTGAATCCACTTGACACAAACCTAGATGTCCAGATTTCAGATGACAAGTTCTATAAAACAAGATACTGACCTCCCCACTACCACCACCACCAATTTACTTTATATTCAGATACTCCTCGCCAAGTACCTTACTAGAATCAAATTACACTGTAGCTTTCATGTGTGGCCTTCAATTAACGCTAATCATTATAATCACTTGATGCAATCATAAGTTTAATGGTTTCCTAGAGATAGAGCTCTTGAATCTAGGATGACTCATGACAGTGAGCATTTTCTGGATGTGGCACATGTTCAACCTCATACTCTTGCTTCCAAGACCTCTTGACCACATATCTGTTTCATGATCTGAGAGAGAAGATATAAACCACCTGCCCTGGGACCAGCAGTTGACGTAATGGCTGTGTCGCTGGACTCCCATGTCAACCACAGGTCTAGTCCCGGACCTGGTGGCTTAAACTCATGCCGGGTATGTGGGCATGCACGCCCAAGATCCCGAGAGGAGAATGGAGGAGGGATTGTGGTGTGCCCAGCTTCCCTGGGGAATGATTTCTTGCTTTCTGTCTTTGTGTCTCTCTCTGTCTTTCTGGTGGGTGCACGTGCCCTATAGCAAAAAGCTCTAAAAAAAAAAAAAAAATCTGCCCTGGGACACAGAGGAGGATAGAACTGAAAGAGAAATCTGTGAAAGCAAATTATCAAGCCTTATTTCTTTGACCTGACATCTTCCAGAGAGCAGCAACAAAACACACAGGTGTGTGCACGTGTATATACATGTGCACATGACTCATGCACACACACACACACACACACACACACACATACAGCAGGAAATTCTCTGGTTTTACTCAAGCATGGGTAAACTTCTAGATCTTTCTTGATGGGGTAATAGGCTGCCCAAGGCTCAGACAGAAATAAAGCCCACTGCGAGAGGCAGTATGGCATGGGGGACACCCCCGACTTGAGAAGTCAGGGCAAATATGGTATGAATCCAGTTGTGACCTTTCTGGGCTTTAAGACTTCCAGCAAATTACTTCCTCTCCTAAAATGAGGGTCATTTCTGCCACTTTTCAGCATTGGAGAAGGTGATTGAATGAGCTGAGTAAAGCACCAACTCAGAGTCTATCCCACACCTCACAACTACTCCATCTGCAGAGAAGTATCTGTCCTCAGGGCAGCCTTGACCACCAATTCCCAAACTTCCATGGCAGAGGTTACCCTCACTGGGTTTCTCCATAAGGTGTCATTGGTGTTTCAGGCAATTCCTCACACTGCATAACATTTAGTCTCTCTGGTCTCTGCTCACTTAAATGCCTGCAGAGTCTGTTCCTCTGCCCCCAAGCATGTTGATTACAAAAAGTGCCACAAATATGTCCAAACACCCCTGGGGAGAACCAGCCTTCTTCCTGCCTGATCTGGAACTAGAAGGAATGTCTCTCTCCAGCCCAGAAGCATACATTCAGCAGAGAGAAATGCTGTCAGGAACCTGCGTGGAAAGTTTATTCACAGCCTTTCCACAGAGGGCAGCCCATGCCTCTCTACTTTCAGAACCCTACAGTCCCCATTCTTCTGTAAGAATTTTTTGAGTCTCCAGTACCATAATATGAATTCCTTTAATAGAAGTCCTTTGAGCTGGACTTTTGTTAATACACTATAAGAGGAGGTGATGCCTAATAACAGAATGTCAGACACCTGAGAAAAGGACTATCTAGGGGTCACCAGGACCTCATGGGAATTCTCTCACAGGATACAGGCTGCGCCATCCTCCACTCTGCTGAAATGACTGACAAAGTGGGTGTGAGCTACAAGATATTTGTCCTTTCTCAAAGCAAGTCTTGACTGCCACACACTGATGTTGTAAGGATATAAGTCCTTCTGCTTGAAATATTTGTAACTTACACAATAGATAGCACTTGCAAATGTTTTATACACACACACACACACACACACACACACAAAGACATATGTACATGTGTATATAATGTATATTTTTAGGTATACTATTATAATATTATATATTATAGTAATATATCAAGACTATAATTATATATTGTGTATAAAATATCATATGTATATTAGTATACTATAAACATAACTGCACAGAGAGGACCTGGAACATCTCTTTTCCCTGTTGTAAAAGCTTATCTCAAGGGGACTTTATCTTGGGCCCTTAACCTGGGCAAGTTTACTTATTTCTTTAGGTTAGCCTCATCTTGGACCCTCTTTATTAACTCTTGCTTATCTATTTTCTTATAAACCCTCCACAGTAAGAGTACTTGAAAATTAATAATAAATTATGAACTTCCCTAAACATTCAGGCAATGGATATAAAAATGCAATTGTACAAAAGTAGTAAAATAACTTGTGGAATTACAATACCATCTTCACCTCTTAAACTAGCAACCTTTTTTAAAATTACAGTGTTTGGCTTGCATGAGAGCATCTGGGTAACTAGCACATTGCTGGTGGGACTTTAAGCTAGTAAATCTCTTCAGAGGGCAGTTGAGGAATATGTTTTACTGTCCCTAAAAACACTCATACTCTTAGGTAGAGCACTTATACTTCTAGAAGTTTATCCTTAAAAAGTATTCAAGGGGGACCAGCAGGTGGCATGGGGGTTAAGGACGCTGGACTCCCACATGGCCGACAGCAGTGCAAGTCCTGAAACTGGTGGCTTCCTTTTTCACTTGCTCTCTCTGTCTTACTCTGCCCCTCTCTAGTCAAATTCAAATAAATAAATAAAGTTAAATAAAATAATTCTTTAAAAATTAAGTACTCATGGATGTGCTCAAAGATTTTTTCTTTCTTTTTTTTGAGAGGTTTTTGCTTAGGGCATGCACGCTTACCAGAAAGACAGAGAGACAGAAAGTGAGAAATCACCCGCCAGAAGGGATGGTCATGCCACAATCCCTTCTCCTCCATTCTCCTCTTGGGATCTTGGGCATGCATGCACATGCACCTGGCATGAGTTTAAGCCACCATGTCTGAGACTTGAACCGCAGTCAACCACATGTGAGTTCAACAACATAGCCATTACTCCAACTGCTGGCCCATCAAAGATTTTATTTATCACTATTTATTATGGTTGAAAATCAAAAGTAATCTAAAAAGTCAATGATTCGAGATCAATTAAATAAGTACTTTATATATAGCATAAAAGAAAGCTAATAAGATACTTTCAAGTAACGGATTTCCAAACATCATGATTGCATTTTGTTACAAAAAATTATGCATGTGCAAAAAAAAGAACTCTAAGTATATATGAGAAATATTAGGGACCAGCAGTTAGCATAATGGCTATGTTACTGGACTACCACGTAGTTGACCGCGGTTTGTGTCCCAGACCCAGTGGCTTAAAAGTCACGCTGGGCGCGTGTGCGTGCGTGCCCAAGATCCTGAGAGGAGAATGGAGGAGAAGGGATTGCTGTGTGGCCATCCACCCTGGGGGGTGATTTCTTGCTTTCTGTCTCTGTCTCTCTCTGTCTGGCGAGCACACCTGCCCTATAGCAAAATCCTCTTTAAAAAAAAGAAATATTAATATTTAGCATTGAGTGATAAAATTGCAGGTTATCTTTTAGTTCTTCCTTTTTGATGATCTATATATATTTTCTAAAATTTCTATTTTGGATTAAAATTTCTAAAATGTCTTTTATGGCACTTGCTAATTTCTACTTTGTAAAATGGTTACATATGAGCATATCAACCCAAGAGGACAGATTCCTTGAATACAGGTTTTAAGTCTGATTTATCTTCACAAACTCCATGTTTTTCTTTGTGCCTTGAATGATTACAATTACCATTTATTGAGTATTTTCCATAAGGCAGGCATGATGCTAAATTGTATCTTTTAATATAGTAAAATTCAATATGCATGTATTGAAACAGGGAAAGATGAAGGATAGATGGAAATAAGTGAATAAATAAATGTCAAGAAACCTGAAATCAACTGATAGCTGGCTCATTTAGAAGCAGCCAGCTCGCTGCTGGGGTCCCTTCTAACCACAGAACCTTGCCAATCTTCCAGATCATCTCTTCTAAGGAGGATGAAAAGGGTTAGGAGAAGAACCACACTATGATCCTGGATTTTAGGAAGACACGCTTTTTGGAAGATAAGATCTTGTGGGAAATACTAGGTAAAATGTAAAATCACTTTTGAAAGTATTCTTACTAGAATCAAGAAAACAAATGCTTTCTATGTCACATGACTATGACCTTTTAGTAAAACATTTTGACCATGGTGACCTTTAATTCATTTCTATTATTACATTCTCTGAGCACCCCACAACAGCTTTGGGGTTGGAAGATAAGCACAGTATCATCCTTAAGGAATTTGTAATACAGTTAATATTCCAACAGGTGCCTAAATAACTGATTCAAGACAAGGTGTGATCTCTGACAAATGACTCCAGGACCATGGGGAGTGCAGAGAAAAATTCCTTCTAAAGGGAATGGAGAGTGGAGGGGGTGGCAAGAGACGGCTGGCATCTGAAGGATAGACAAGGTTTGAGATGCTGAGAAGGGGAAATGGCCCTCCTGGTAGGAACAGCCTGGTCAAAGGCTCTGAGAGATGGGATATGGTATGTTTGAGAAAAGACAAGTGTTCATGTGTCAGAAACCTTGAGCCACTTTATTAAGAGCAAAAACGGTCCACAGCTGAACTCCTCTTCATTGGTCTCATCTTGCCTCTAACACTTGGGCACTCGCCACCTTTGAAGAGCACATTAACATATCCCCTTACTTTAAAGACTTTGACATTAAGTTTAGATTTAAGGCCACAGAAATTTGAGCATTCCTGGAAGTACAAGGGGACTTCAAAGTTTTATAGGGAAAAAATGAAATGAAGTACAAATTTAATATGGTGCACAAAGAAAAAAATTGAAACCCAGGTTTAATTTGTGCCTCGTATGTGTTTTCCATGAGGTTTCTTAGAAACCTCACAGGAATGCTGGAATGGCTCTTAGGAACCTGCCTCTGCCCTGTTCTCCAAATGCTCAATCTCAGAGCAGAAGCCTCAGGACCTGCAACTACCTGCTGTTTCTACACATCTCCCAGGAAGATAAGAAGGCACTCCCCTCAGGATTCATTGGTTCCACAGCATGGAACCAACAGTAAAAATATCAAGGACCCATCTTTTAATGCTTTCAATGCTCAGCCTCCAGAGAGTCAGCCCCTTGTCCTGCTTCCGGAGGTACATCCCCCACCTATTGTCCCCCTTTAGTGAAGAGTTTGAAGAAGAAAGAAAACAGGAGCCACTCAGAATCCACAGTGCAGGAGAGGGACACCCCATCTTGCAACTGGGAATACCACATCTTTTTCTCCAATATATCAGTAACATGATGTCTTATCCCCCCCACACACCTGCATCCTGCCTCTCTGAGAGACTCTGAATGGGCCTCTTTTTCTTCTCTCTCTCTCATCCCTTTTTCCTTGTTTCAACTTTTGTAGAAACTATTGTTCAACCTCTCTTCTCTCTCTCATCTGTTTCCATGTGTGTGTTTTCCTCTCTCTGAACCTCTGTATCTTTTTACTATCACTGTCCCCATAGCTGTCATTATATTAGCCTCTGTTTTGGCATCTCTGGTAGTCTCTCCATTTCGTACCTGGTGGCTAGGTGTTTTCCTGAATATCTATGTGTCTGGATGCCTCTGCCTCCTGTCTCTTGGTGTCTGTCATATTCAGGTCTTTCTGTCACTTTCTGTCTTCTCTCTGTATCCTATCTCCATCTCTGTCCCTATCCCTCTTTCCTGGCTTGGTTACTAATATCACAGCATGGAAACCTAGCAGTTCATAAAGGTGTGATCTTAAAACCAGCTTCAGAGGGATC